CTCTCTAAATTAGTTTCGGAGGCATTGAATGCCCAAGGAAACCTAGCTCGAATCGAGCCTCTTTGGGTAAAGGAGGTTTCTTATCTAAACTAGCCTAGCAGGCATGAAATGCCCAAGAACACCCATCTCAAATTGAGCCTCTTAACCTAAGAAGGTTTCCTCTCTAAACTAGCCTAGGAGGCACTAAATGCCCAAGAACACCCATCTCAATTTGAGCCTCTTAACCTAAGGAGGTCTCCTCTCTAAGCTAGATTAGACTGGAAATTATATTGATAGGCTTTCACACAACACAATCATTTCTAAATAATACCTCCACATTCACATTAAAACACAACCACACACAAATCATTCAATTCATACAAGCATTCACATAATTGTAGCTAGGGTTCACAAACACCCTTGTGAAAGAAGGTACTACTCTATGCTAGGAGAAGGGAAGACACGAGAGAGGGAAAGGGAAACCATCAAGAAGATGCAAGCCTTGCTCCTTGTGCTGAAGAAATCCTCCTTTGGGGGAGGAATTCCCAAAACCTTGCTTGGAGATGAAACCCTAGCTTTTCCTCTTCTTTGGTTCGTCAGTTTCTCACTCTAAAATATGAAGAAAGAGAAGTTTCTCACATTAGGTCTCTCCCCTTTCTTCTTCCTTTCAGCTGGCATTTTAAGTTGAGATCGCGCCTAGTTCACGACCTAAGTTCACAGGCGTGATCATTAAAACGCGTACATGAACTCAGTGCTGAGACCAAAATGCACCGCTTCAATGGCTCGGGTTCACGGTCTTAGCGACCGTGAACAGCTTGGCCATTAGTAACCTGAAAGCCCTCTCTGAACGCTCATTGGTTCACGGATTTTCGCTCCAGTTCACGGTCTCGTGAGACCGTGAACATTGGCTGTCTCCACCTCTTTGCCCGGTCTTTGCTCCTTTTCTTCCAACTTTCGACTCCGTGTTTGGTTTTACTTGTTAGGATATGAAACACACTGAAACACAAGCAACCTCGCGTAAAACCAACTTTTTTGGAGTTTAATTGGAACAAACGTTAAAGATAATTGGGGATAAAAAGTGTACAATTAGGCCCGAATCAACCGGCTTCACTATACTTCCCTTTTAATTAATAAAAATTGATATCACAATTATAAAATATAAAATACATAAATTAGCATTTGAGAAACAATCGTAGCTTCTCCGTCCCATGTCCCGTCCAAGAATCCGTAAAATTAAAGGTTCTCCGTCCCATCCAATTCGATTAGCATTTAAATATTCAATTGACATAATTCAGACCAATAATATGTTGCCACGTGGACGCGGAGCAGCGATGGGCTGCAAGTCTGCAACCCTTACAACAGCCAAATTCCGCCCATTAATATTTTACACTGTGTTCCAGTAGGAGGGAAAGGGAAGGGGAGGGAAAAGGTGGGAGGAAAGTTGGTTTTTCGAGAAACTTTCCTTTGTTCTAGAGATCAGGAGGGAAGGAAAATGGAGTACAATTTTCTCTTGGTCCCACCAAAAGGTCATGTACAACTCTCCCCTCCAAAATGGAGTGAAAACACTAAAAAGAGAAGGAACGACAATTTTTTTTTTAATTCTTCCTTCTTTCTTTGTGTTGTGAAAATCAGTTTCCCTTTTTCCTGTTTTTTAATAATTATATCTTCCACTTCACATTTCTTTTCTTTTTCGTTAAATCCACTTACATTTCTATTCTTGTAGTTCTTAATTGTTTTTTGAGAAATTCAATTTTTATTTCTAAATGTAAAAGTTTAATACATTTATAATGTAAAAGTTTGTGTCACATAATATCATCATGTTTAATGTAGAATGTAAAAGTTTATTACATTTCAATAATTTCATGTAAGAGATGCACCATATAGGATAGTTAGTTATCAATACCGATAAGTGAATCTATAACGATGATTAGTGGTCAAATGATGATTCACTCTTTAATGATAAAAAGTAGTTTTTTGTCGTAAACAAACTTTGATAATTTCTATCGAATGGACGCCATCCTGTACCACAGAGTTAATCCAACTTTTGTGGGGAAATTTTTAAATAAAGTTAAAATGAACAAGATTTTCAATCAAGGAAAAAATTTAATAGTGAACCAAAGTAGCACGAAAAAATTAATTTGATCGACTATTCATAAGTAATAAAAATTACATCAACACATTATTTTACTATTACATAATCAATTAAATAAGTTATTTATCAAAATTCATAAGTAGAATATTAACATACAATCAAATTATTTTACTATTACATAACCAATAAAATAACATATTCCTCACACTTTCCTTCATGAAACAACATTTTCCTCCCAATTCTCTTCACTTCCAAATCTCACCTCCCCTCCCCTCCTAATTTTCTTTCACCTCCCCTCATTTTCCTCTCTTCCTTCAGAAACATAGTGTTAAGCTTCCATGGATCTTTGCATTTCAACCTTCATGTAGAGACATACAGAGATTTCAACAAATTTATACATAAACTCTGTATTTTTATTTTCTATTCCCGTGTTATTTGGTTTACGCAAACGCCTCTTTCTGTCGATCCATTGTTCCATCTTATTATGAGTTTTCTTCTGCTTCTGTTAATCGGTGGATTATTGATTTTGTTGGTGGTGTGTTTTCCAAAATGTTCAGGTTCTTTTTATGTTTCTTATCCCTTTCACAACTTGGTTTAGTGGTCGGCGAGTAGACCGGTCAACGGTGAGGAAGCTAAAGCAATTGCCATCGGGGAGACAGGGGTGGGGTGGGGTTGAGTGGCTTGGTTTGTAGCTCTCTGGCCCGTGGTCGACATTTATGTGACTAGATAAATTAATTTTTTATTTAGGCCGTTAGTCAAAATAACGGAAAATTGAATGGATGCACAATTTAAAGAATTCAGTAGTGTGCCCTATTTTAAAACTTAAATGGTATCACATGTATTTTACCCTTGTAAAGCCTAATTCTTTTGAGCGGACCAATTGGGAAGATAAGGGAGAAGAAGAGAAGGCGAGAAAAAAAAAACAGTGTCATTGGGGAAGAATAGAGAGGAGGGAAGAGAAAGAATTGGGGGTAAAATACCTCAGGTACCACTTAAGTTTGAGAATTGGTGTAGACATACCACTTAAATTTGAATAGGGCGTTGGGTACCGCTGAACTCTATTATATGTGCACCCGGTACCACTTATGTTTGCTGCTATGTGCATTGCGTTAAAGTTGACAGAATATTCTTGGAATATTCTGCTTTCTAAATTTCATAATTAGTCCTTTTACTTTTCTTATTGTAAAAAAAGTATTTGTACTTATGAAAAACATAATTTTTATTGTTTAATTGGAATCCTCTTTTGAATACTTGATAGCAAATCAATTTTTCAATAGAAAATTTAGAATCAATTATTATTATAAGTATTTTCAATTATCATTATGTGTTCTTATAATTGAATAATTTTCCCAAGCAAATATATTTTATGAATTCTATCTCGATATAAATAATCTGAGAATGTTATATTTAATTCTCTTACATAAGAGTGATGTTGTCTAATTTCCATGTTAAATTTTCTTTTAATTCTCTAATATTATATTTGTAGTTGTTTCATATTAGTTAAATTTAGTAATTCTAATTCTCTTCTTATAATCATATTTTATTTTCTATATTTTTTACTGAATGTTGTAGCTTTTATAGTTCAATTATTACTTGGTTAATTTCCGTCTCTTTTCGTTCTAAATGTTTTTTTAACGACTGGAATATGTATTATTCCTTATGATTGTGTTCTATTTATCTTTCTTTGGTTTTGATGTATTGATGATCGATTAGGTTCTATTTTAACTATTTCTAATGGTGCTTCTAATCGAATTAGGGTGTTTAAATATATATTCTAATATTAATTTTAAATATTTATTATTTCTCTTATGTTCATTTAATATTTGTACTAATTTATCTTTTTTATGAAAAAATTTTATTAGCCATTTTAGTAATAATATGTTTAGAAGGTTTTCTAATTTTTATATAAGATAAAACTTGTTGAAAAATAGATTTGAATGTTTTTAAAATTTTTGGGTACCAAAAAGTAATTAAAAGTTTGGATTGGATGGAAAAATAGACGGATGCACATTTTGTCGACTTGAATGGTACCCGGCGTCCTATTCAAACTTAAGTGGTATGTCTACCCCAATTCTCAAACTTAAGTGGTACCCGAGGTATTTTACCCAATGAATTGGTGAAAGTTCATTTATTCATAGGTTTTAAGTGGTCAAGCGAGCATATATAGAATCATTGGTTGCCAAATTACAATTCGATTTGTAAATTCTATTTTTGAAAAAAATGATCCTTTCTAATCCAAACTACAAAATGATACTCGAACTTATAATCAAATACTGTAACATCTTAGGCAAATTCCACATCGACAAAGCACGGGAGAGATCCATGGTTCATAAGTAAGAAACTGATCTTAATTGACAAGACGCGTTTTGGAGTGAAATGTAGGATTTATTGTGAGAACTCCGAAGTTAAATGTGTTCACTGTGAAGTACAACAAGGATGTGTGACCTTATGAGAAGTCATCTTGAATTGCACCCCAAGTCGAAGCCCAAATTGAACAATATCTTGCTCGGAAAAAGGTTCGAAATGTTACAAATACACTAGTGAGATTTCTATAAAAAGAAAATACACTAGAGAGAGTGGGTGAGTGAAGTGTGGAGTAAGGGTGGACTAATACGACAGGCCCTGGATGCTTTATATCTCAGCCTTCATAGTAGTACTGTCGAATAAGCCACTTCTCCTGATTTTCTTCTATGGAGCAGAGAGGTAAAAAAAACATTATTAGCGACCCACCTCCTATCTTGTCTATTTGCCAATGATAGCTTTGATACCAAAATCCTAGACAATTCATTTAGTATATCGTGTATAAAGCTTTGATACCGAATCCGGTCTCCATATTGCAATCTGAAATGGATCAGTCAAATTTTCTTTTAACAGTACCAATGACGACCTTAAATCCCACGAAAATGTGATCCAACTTTATTTCACTCGCCAAACAGATCTTATCAGTGCAATCAGCAATGGCCCAAGTTTGGTTAAGCTATGAGGGCATTAACAGGGCCAATCAAGTTGCTATAAATTCTTTTAATGGAATGACTATTTTATTTTCCATTTTCATACATTAATGGCATCAAATGGGGGCGACTGTAATCAGGCAGCTCCTCCGTCCTCCCCAACTTCTTTCTCACTCATCTTTAACTTGCCACTCGCGCTGTTGCTCTTGGAATGGTGACTGCTACTGCCCATACTCACATTTGCAGGGACACATGCCGTTGAGAGTTACCCATCACTCCCTTCAATTTCATTCCTCCAGCGCGATGAACTGGTCGGTAGCAACAATAACAAAAGAAAAAAGAGCCCACATACCCAAAATAAAATGACGAAACAGAAACATTATTTGAAATGCCATTATGATAAAGTTTTTGGTTTAGTGTGGACGAAAAAGTTAGTGCCTATCTGGGATCCTTATTTTGGGGACTTTGGATTCTCCTTCTTCTGGGTCTTTGTGGCTTGAAGAAGAAGTGTTAAGAATGGACGACGATGAGCTTCCTGATGGTGAACAGTATAATTCCTGGGGTGTGAGGGAAGAAGAAATGTTATTCAAGGACTGGAGCTTCTTCACGAGGAATGTCAGCTTCTTTTCAGCTTTCCACTTCTGTTTAGTCTCTTCCTTTAGCTTCTTCTCCAGCTCCCTCAGCTGAAGCAAAAACAAACAATAAAAAGAAGAGGATCCAAGTTGAGAAACTTTTCATGTCCAAATGTCCAATGATCTAATCTAATAACAATCTACAGGGAGAGAGAGAGAGACCTTGTCAGCCAGCTGCTCTGCCTCTTCATTAGCCACCCTCGAAGCTTGTCGCTCAGCTAGCAACATTCCCCTCAGCGATTCCACAGTCGAACCCAAACACGAAAATGAACCCGAACCCATCTCTCCCTTCAGCTTGGAGCAACGGAACAGAATGTGAACCAAATGAATGGGGAGAGAGCGCAGATAGCAAGATAGAATAGTTACCAGCTCTCTTCCTCTGCCATTTTCATTCGCAAAACAGAGAAAGTACAGAGCGAGGAAAGTGGAACTGCTAGCTGCAGCCGGGCAAACTGAAAAAGTGTAATAATAACAATAGTTGTAGTAGCCTGACCTCTCTTTTGGTTTCAGAGGCCCCCAAGAGAATTTGGGCGGTTATGCAAAATCAGCTGCAGCAATAAATATGTGAGGTGGCGGTGAACCACTAGAGAGGGTTTGGTGTTGGGATGGGACCGATAACTCATAAAGTACACCATTGTTTACTTGAAGCAAGATCATTAACGAATGTATCTAATTTGGTAATTGATTGACACATAAATAATCCCATCAGATTCGGCAAGTCATTTTGAGTGAGTGAGCGAGCGGCAGAGTAAGTGACTAGTTTGAAACGCTTGCTCGCGTTGGACGGGGAGCTAACATTCTGAATTTGTTTGGTTTGCTGTTGTGTACCTATCACGTGAAGTCTCGCACTCGAGTTGTTTATCTTTTGTTTTCAAAACTTCACCCTCATTCATTATTGGCCCTTCTCCTGTTGTAGACGGAAATTTTTTCAAAATGTTAAAAAGAACCAATAGCCACAACTCTTGGGAGGGAAGTGAAAAAAGAACAGTGAAAAAAAAAAAAAGAAGGGAGAAGCTCTCCCCTCTCTCCTGAGCCTAGGGCGATGGATCGGAAGTTTACTGATCCGAGCGGTGCTCGCTATCATCTTCCATTGCATACAAAACCACTGCTCAAAAGTGTTGATATGACTTGAATCGAACTACCAGCCGCTACGACTGGTAATCGGGGGGCAACGCCCCCGGCCCACGGTGTATGGGCTCAATGTTATTTGGGTTCGGGTTCTAGGCCTGGTCTGTAACCGTTTCCTTTGCCAGATTGGATTAGGTTTAGACCCACATGGAGAAGTGCTATAAATACTTCTCATACTCCTCTGTAATCTGTAATCTCCTTGATATAGTGAAATCGGCTCTCTCTCGCCCATGGACGTAGCTAACACACATCGTGTTAGTGAACCACGTAAATCGTGTGTCGTGTTTTCGATTCTCGCTTTCGTATTCTTGCTTTGTCGATTCCGGCGATTTCTCAATCCGTAGCAGCGCGTTTATAACAAGTGGTATCAGAGCCGCGGCTGGAAATCGGGCTAGGGTTTTCGATTCAGAAGAATGACGTCGGTGAACATGAAGATCGAAAAGTTCACGGGGAAGAACAGCTTCGCTATATGGCTGATCAAGATGCAGGCTTTATTAAAACAGCAAGGGTTGTGGGGGCCGCTGTCTGCGAAACAGAAGAAGGCAGCGGTCGATGACGATGAGTGGAATACCCTGGAGGAGAAGGCCCACTCGACCATTATGCTATCGTTGTCTGATGACGTCATCATTGAAGTCGCTGCTGAGAAGACTGCCGCGGGCTTGTGGTTAAAGTTGGAGAGTCTGTATATGACGAAGTCCTTAACCAACAAGCTGCATCTCAAGCAACGGTTGTTCAGCTTGAGGATGCAAGAAGGTACGCCTTTGAGGGAACATCTCGAACAACTTAACTCTATTTTGCTGGATCTGCGTAATATAGATGTTCAAGTTGATGACGAGGATGCTGCCCTAATCCTGCTGGTTTCTTTGCCGAGTTCATATGAGAATTTCGTTGATTCTTTTATTGCTGGTAAAGAAAGCGTGTCGTTGGAGGATGTTAGGTCTGCTCTTCATACGAGAGAGATCAGATATAAGGCGTCTGGATCTGGTACAGGTGGTGAGGCATCGGGGTTGGCTGTTACAGGTGGAAAGGGAAAGAAGAAATCTGGTAAAGGGAATTCGAGCAAGAATTCCAAGGGTCCCGGTCCACAGCCAGGTGATGGTTGTCACAACTGTAAGGAAGTGGGGCATTGGAAGTACAACTGTCCCAAGAGAAGAGGGCAACAGAAGAAACAAGGTTCAGTTGTCGTGGCAGAAGTGGACAACAGTTCTGAAGACGATCTCGCCTTGGCTGTAGATGAGAAGGCACATCGTGGTGATGTGTGGTTTCTGGATACTGCAGCCTCATACCATATGTCTCCGAACAGGGATTGCTTCACAACCTACGAGCAGATAGATGGTGGTAACGTGGTCATGGCTAGCTGTCTACAAGGTTGTTGGAATCGGGTCCATAAAGGTTCGGACACATGATGGATCGTTCTGTACCGTGAATGATGTCAGACATGTTCCACGAATGACAAAGAACCTGATCTCCTTGAGTCTACTCGACAGCAAGGGCTTCAGCTTCAAATGAAAAGGTGGAGTTGTGTATGTCTGCAAGGGTTTGACGAAGGTACTGAAGGGCGTGAAGCGTGGGACCTTGTATGCACTACAAGGGTCTGTGTTATCTGGTTCTGCTGCAGTTGCATCGTCTCAGGTTCATCAAGAAGATATGACCACTCTCTGTCACATGAGACTGGGGCATATGAGTGAACGAGGGATGCAATTTCTGTCGAAGAGGGATCTTCTTTGCTGGCACAAGGTGCAGAATTTGGAATTCTATGAGCATTGTGTGTTTGGGAAGCTACATCGCAGCAAGTTTCCCAAGAAGGGTATCCACTGGACGAAGGGGATACTGGATTACCTCCACTCCGACTGTTGGGGTCCTTCACGAGTTGAATCCATTGGAGGCAGCAGGTATTTTCTGTCTATTATTGATGATTATTCGAGATTTACTTGGATTTTCATGATGAAGCAGAAAAGTGAGGCTTTCACGAAGTTCAAGCAGTGGAAGACATTGGTGGAGAATCAGACCGGTAAGAAGATCAAGAAGCTGCGAACGAACAATGGTCTGGAGTTCTGTAATTCTTAGTTCAACAAATTCTGCAAGGATGAAGGGATTGCCCGTCATCGGACTGTTAGAGATACACCCCAGCAGAATGGCGTTGCAGAAAGGATGAACCAGACATTGTTGAAGAGAGCACGGTGCATGCTCTCTAATGCTGGACTAGAAAGAAGATTCTGGGCAGAAGCAGTAAACATGGCGTGCTTCCTGATCAACCATGGACCTCACACAGGTATCGAGTTGAAGACTCCTTATGAAGTGTGGTATGGTAAGCCTGCTGATTACTCTTCACTGAAAGTTTTTGGGTGTCCTGTTTATTATCACGTGGATGAGGGTAAACTGAACCCAAGGGCAAAGAAGGGTGTATTTGTGGATTACGGAGATGGAGTTAAGGGATTTCGAGTCTGGTCACCTTCTGAGCATCGAGTTATACTTAGTAGAAATGTGATATTTGATGAGAAGTCTATGTTTAACCCCATGTTGAAGGTTACTGTTGCTGAAGGTAGCAGGAATGTTGATAAGCAGGTGGAGCTGCAAACTCTCAATGAGAGTGAGTTTGAGCACCAAGGTGGAGAAGATCAACATGATGGGGATGTCTCTGCAGAGCCAGAAACTTCAGAGTCCAATGCATGAGCTAAATAGTCTATTGCTTCCGGTAGACCGAAGAGAGCGACTGCAAGAGTACCTCCACAGAGGTATGGCTTCGAGGACATCGTGGCGTATTCATTTCAAGTTGCTGAGGAAGTGGATGCAGGAAAGCCACAGTCTTATAGAGAAGCAGTTTCGGGTGGTGAAGCTGATCAGTGGCTTGCCGCAATGGGAGATGAGATGGAATCCCATGAGAGGAATCAGACTTGGGAGCTAGTCAAATGACCACAGGAAAGGAAGATTGTTACAAACAAGTGGATCTACAAGAAGAAGGAAGGAATCACTTCTAAAGAGGGCATGAAATTTAAAGCTCGGGTGGTTGCACAAGGCTTCTCGCAGAGGGAAGGAGTTGACTACAATGAGATTTTCTCACCAGTGGTCAGGCATACTTCGATCAGAGTGCTACTAGCAATAGTGGCACATTATGACTTGGAGCTCGAGGAGCTAGACGTGAAGACAGCTTTCCTACATGGAGAGTTGGAAGAAGAAATTTACAAGACTCAGCCAGAAGGATTCGAGGTTCCGGGAAAAGAAGACTATGTTTGTAAGCTGAAGAAGTCCTTGTATGGACTTAAGCAGTCTCCGAGGCAGTGGTACAAGAGATTTGACAGTTACATGCTTGAGCTGGGCTACAACAGAAGTCCATATGATTGTTGTGTATAACACAGCAAGGCAGAGGATGGTTCGATGATATATCTAGTTCTGTATGTGGATGATATGCTCATAGCTGCGAGGTCAAAGTCTGATATCCAGAAGTTAAAGGGGCTTCTCAGTGCTGAGTTTGAGATGAAGGATTTGGGAGCTGTTCAGAAGATCTTGGGTATGGAGATTTACAGGGACAGGTCGAAGAAGAAGCTTTTCTTGTCACAGAAGAGCTACATCCAGAAGATACTGTCGAGGTTTGGCATGTCTTCAGCAAAGCCCTTAAATACTTCTAGTGCTTCAAATGTTCATCTATCCTCAGCTTATGCACCGCAGTCAGAGGCTGAGAAGGAATACATGTCGAGAGTCCCATATGCTAGTGCAGTAGGTAGCTTGATGTACGCTATGGTATGCACTAGACCTGATCTTGCACATGCTGTTAGTGTTGTCAGCAGGTTCATGATACAACCTGGGAAGGAGCATTGGCAGGCTGTGAAGAGGATCTGCCGGTACCTTAAGGGTACACCTGATGTGGGGATTAGCTTCGGAAGTGATACAGAGTGCTTGGTGTCTGGGTATTCTGACTCGGACTATGCTGAAGATGTTAACACGAGGAGATCGATGACCGGTTATGTATTCACTCTTGGGAGTTCGGTAGTGAGCTGGAAGGCAACTTTGCAGTCGGCGGTGACATTGTCTACTACTGAGGCAGAGTATATGGCGTTGACAGAAGCTGCTAAGGAGGGAATATGGTTGAAGGGACTAGTTGGTGATCTGGGTCTACATCAAGATCAGGCAGTGGTGTGCTGCGACAGTTTGAGTGCAATATGCTTGGCCAAGGATCAAGTCCGCCATGAGAGGACTAAGCACATCGATGTGAGGTATCATTTCTTGAGAACAGAGAAGAGGATTAAGATGAAGAAGGTTGGCACCGCGGATAATCCTGCTGATATGTTCACGAAGCCGGTTCCACATGGCAAGTTCCAACACTGCTTGGACTTGCTGAATGTCTTGAGTGGGTGACTCCGCCCTACGGGGCATTGATGGCGGGAGAGAGAGAGAATGAGCA